GGTGCGAATAGCCCCAGTGGCATAATCGGACGAGCAAATACCCTCGAGGGTAATTTCTCCGACCGCGGACGTGAAGGAAAGATGTCAGCAAGCGCAGGATATTAGTAGTTCAAATTATTCTGATATAGTAAATTTGAAGTGTAAGAAGCATTGAGTCGGAATCCCTAAATGAAAAGGTCGGGGTTCTCAAGCTGCGGGCGTCGAAAAGTATGCCCATTGCCCAGCACACGCACGGCACCGGTGACAACAGCGAAATTTTGTGCGGATCTCGAACCGGATATCACGTCACGGCCATGTATAGTTGACTATTGGTTATTCACGTGGTGTGAACATCATGGAGACAAGTCTGGACTGAATTAATTTATAGAGACCAAGCTAATGTATGGTCGAATGTTCTATAATAAGAATAACGCGTATGTCGTATGCTTATAAACGTGTTACAATATTTCTCCGATAAATACATCGTAACCTTAGCTTAGTATTACTAACGCAGACCAATTCGTGAATAATTTCATAGTCAAGTGCTTTACTAACTAGGCGCAGGCGATGAAGCTGCTGCCTGGATCGTTGGGCGTGTGGTTAAAGTTGCTCTCTGCTCGCTTCCAAAAATTGCGGCCAATTTTATCTCTAGCACTTTCGCCTTTACGACAAGTTGTCGATCAACAACGTTCTTGGCCTTCTTTTCCGCAAGGCGAACTCGTGCGGACCAAGTACTCGAGGAGGACGAACGATGCGAACGAGCCGAGCGGGAGGAGAGTGCTTCAGGTGGAAGTGCGGCACCGCTCTTCTTATGTCAGGTGAGGAGTCTCTCTATTCGTCCGTGAAATAAATCTATTAGTTCCTTGTGAGGATTAACCCACTTCATCAATCCCTGGCTTTCGCACAATTTCTGAAGATTTTCTACTTTATCACAAGATTTCCAGTGTATTAGCTGTCGAAGAAGTTCGAATTTACCAGGAAGGTAGTTCAGCTACTCGACGATCTCATTCCCCCTCCTCGTCACGGCCCAAAGCTTGGCTTATGCTTCACAGGGTGGAGCATAATGCATTGCAGGTACTCCTAACTTGGAAGTCCTGCAGTGTTCTATATTTGAATCTGTAAGGTTCATTCGTTCACGAAGGGTTCGAAAACACGAGTTTCCTTCAACTTTGTGTATTAAAATCGGTTTGTGGAAAATGAACATGTAAGTTGAAAATAATGGCAAACGGAAAATTAAGAGCGCCGTAATGCAACATAACGCGGCCAAAATTTGCAAAGCAACGCAGGTAGTCGGAATATGGTAGATTACAGAGCAGTTGGTGGGTTCCAGAGCATCCAAAGTTTTCTTTAACTGCCTCGCTGCCTGCGTTGCGAGGCCCACTAGTGGCTATGCTTTCTTTTGATAGTTCTTTCAAGTTCTTCAACAGAGTAATTATGTTCAGCTTACGACTAATGAATGAAATTGTTTTCATGTCACCCTGGATATGCTGACACCAGATAGCTCCAATTCCGTAGTCGCATGCAACAGTTTGCAAGACGGAAGAGCAGCCTGGTTTTGTAATTGTTTACTATAGTAACAATATACGGCATGATAAGGGGATTGCCGTGAGCTGGAGGGCGATGGCGAGGAGGGGGATAGCCGAGAGGGGGATCGCCTTAAGCGGGATTGAGGGGAGGGGATGGGCGGCGGAAGAGATAGAGTCCGCTGCACATATGAAAACTACAAATTATTGTTCCAACTTTGTTGACGATTATGGCCGCAACCCCCGCGAACATTTTTCCCCAGATGCGCACGCATATTGAGGTTGTCAGCTCCGCCTCTGGTCAAATGGAAAAAATCCTCATCTTCGAGGAAGAACGGGCGAGGATATTTTGCGTTACTTGCGAGTAGAGGCACTTCAACGAATATATCGGTGACACAATCACTTTCGACGACGTCGTTACTTGACGAGATTCTCAAACTTTTTGCGTCGCAGAGCAGACTGTTTCTGCAGCACGTTGTCAGCAAGCTGAGTTAATGTGGACTCAACTTGCTGTAAGACATTGACAAGAGACGAGTCGCCTGACCCAAGGGCCTCGATCTTGGGCATCTTCGGTCCAGATGACCTGCATGGGTAGGCAGCATCACGAGCTGCGCCTGGTAACGATCGCACCACTCCATGTAGGCAGAAGAGTTTGTGCCGGAATACCTCCTAAGTTTACCAATGTCTGCAACCGCTGCGACAAGGTTTATGGCTAATGTATGAATTCCTTATCGTTGCAGACATTAGCCAAAAATCATGTCGCAGCGGTTGTGAGGGAGAGCTATTTATCAATTTTGGGATTTTCGATTATGTTCACACAATTCTTAATCTTAACTTCTCCCTCACTCGACGCCATCCCATTAATTATCCTTCCATCGTTGGTTTGAATTGCCAATTCAAATGTCAATGCATGTTAGGGTTGCTTACCCCCGTGCTAATTAAATCTATAAAATCCTCCTCTTAGAGGAAATAAAATCTCCGATATGCCGATTGTTCTACCTGCGGCACTGGGATAAAAATATTCGTGACCGTATCAATGTCCGTGGTCACGCACAGGGCGGCGGAAGCGAGGTGGCTCCGGCGGCCGCACTTTGCTTCGTCGTGTATGAAGCGGCCGCACCACTGACATCGTAGGCGCTGCACATCCGAGAACAAGTTTGCAAGAGGGTACACACCCAGAAACAGTGTAGCTGCTCATCCGAACAGTCCTTATAATTTTGAGCAAATGTACATGAGCATCTCGTGATCACATCTGTTGAGGACGGACTTATTAATATAAGTTGTCGAGATCCATGCTACTGCTGTGTTGTGCAAAGCGGATTTACTGTTAGCCGGAGTTACCCACAGCTCATTGATCTGAGGCCATGTGTAGATATTGCATGCCGATGGTTGGCGTTGGGCCCAGGGCCTGTTTACGAGTCAATTTTGTTACCCACGGATGCGCTCCCGATTGATTCGGTTGGTAATGCGGCACCACGTCAGGTGAGGAGTCCCTCGATTTGTCCATGAAATAAATCTATTCGTTCCTTGTGAGGATTAACCCAATCCGTCAATCCCTGGCTTTCGCACGATTTCTGAAGATTTTCTACTTCATCACAAGATTTTCAGTGTATTAACTGTCGAAGAAGTTCGAATTTACTAGGAAGGTAGTTCAGCCACTCTCCCGATCTCATTCCCCTCCCTCGTCACGGCAAAAAGCTTAATTAGCTGACGAAACTAACATCTGACAGGGTGGAGCATGATGCATTGCTGGTACACCTAACTTGGAAGTCCTGTAGTGTTCATTTGAATCTGTAAAGTTCATTTGTTCACCAAGGGTTCGAAAATACGAGTTTCTTTGAACTTAGTGTATTAAATCGGTTTGTGGAAAATGAACATGTATGTTGTAAATAATGGCAAACTGAAAACAAAACGAAAAAGGCCAAAATTTGCAAATCAACGCACGCAGGGCTTTTGTAGATTACAGAGCAGTTGTTGGGTTCCAGAGCATCCAAGATTTTCTTCAACTGCCTCGCTGCCTGCGAGGCCCACTAGTGGCTATGATTTCTTTTGAAAGTTCTTTCAAAATTTACAACCGAGTAATTATGGTCAGCGCTATTCAGCTTTCGAACAATGAATGAAATTTTCTAATATCACCCAGGATATGCTGACACCAGACATATCAAATTCCGTAGTCGCATGCAACAGTTTGCAAGACGGAAGAGCAGCCTGGTTTTTGTAATTGATCACTATAATAACAATATACGGCGTGATAACCATAAGGTCACTGTCAACTCGCACAGGCGACGAATGGATGACGACAAATGGCACACAATATGTTTATTGAAAAGGGTAAAAATACGTTGAGAAAAAAGGTCAAACTGCAACTCTTATGCTGTTGAATCTTCTTCATCTTCTGTAGAGTCGTCTTCATCGGCTGTGGCACCATGCATCCGCATTTTGTGAGCTGGACGGTCAACTATAAGAATTTATTTCATATATCATAGTGCCTATCATATCATAGCCGCACCAGCCCGACCAGGATTTCCTTGACGATGGGGCGTTGGCCGTTATAGACTCTCATAGGTCATAGCTATAACAAATACAGCTTCTCGTGCACTGCATTAATGCGATTCCTGATCACGGTGCTGCTTGGCGAGGTGTACGGGCACGATTTATACGGCGCGTGCAAGATGGGAGAGGGGGATTGCCGGGAGGGGAATCTCCTTAAAAGCGGGATTGAGGGTAGGGGGATAGGCGGCGTTACACTCGGCGGGCGGCGGAAGAGAGTCCGCTGCACATATAAAAACGACAATTTATTGTTCATCTTTGTTGACGATTATGGCCGCAACCCCCGCGAACATTTTGCCCCCTTATGCTCACGCATATTGAGGTTGTCAGTTCCACCTCTTGTTAAATCGAAAAAATCCTCATTTCCGAGTAAGAACAGGCGAGGATATTTTACGTTACTTGCGAGCAGAGGCACTTCAACGAATATATCGGTGACACAATCACTTTCGACGACGTCGTTACTCGAGATTCTCATGCTTTATGCGTCCCTGAGCAGACTGTTCCTGCATCACGTTGTCAGCAAGCTGAGTTAATGTGGACTCAATTTGCTGTAAGACATTGACAATAGACGACAAGTCGCCTGACCCAAGGGCCTCTTTGACATCTTCGGCCCAGATGACCTGGGTAGCCAGCACCACGAGCTTCGCCAGGTAACGATCGCACCACTCAATATAGGCAGAAAAGTTTGTGCCGGAATGCCTCGAAAGTTGACAAATGTCTGCAACCGCTGCGACAAGGTTTAGGGCTAATGTCTGAATTCCTTATCATTGCAGAAGTTAGCTCAAACCATGTCGCAGCGGTTGTGAGGGAGAGCTATTTATCAATTTTGGGATTTTCGATCATGTTCACACAATTCTTGAACATAACTTCTCCCTCACGCGAAGCTATCCCATTAATTATCCTTCCACCGTTGGTTTGAATTAAGGTAGAACATGTCCTGCAAATGCCAATGCATGTTAGGGTTGCTTACCCCCCTGCTAGTTAAATCTATAAAATCCTCTTCGAGGAAATAAAATCTCCGATATGCCGATTGTTCTACCTGCGGCACTGGGATAAAAATATTCGTGACCGTATCAATGTCCGTGGTCACGCACAGGGCGGCGGAAGCGAGGTGGCTCCGGCGGCCGCACTTTGCTTCGTCGTGTATGAAGCGGCCGCACCACTGACATCGTAGGCGCTGCACATCCGAGAACAAGTTTGCAAGAGGGTACACACCCAGAAACAGTGTAGCTGCTCATCCGAACAGTCCTTATAATTTTGAGCAAATGTACATGAGCATCTCGTGATCACATCTGTTGAGGACGGACTTATTAATATAAGTTGTCGAGATCCATGCTACAAACCTGGGGCTGGCTCGGCCGCGGCGATAGGCTCGCTATAGGCTCTCGTGTTGGCGTGGGCTGCGTTACATTCCTGTGGGCAAGGATATTCACGCTAGTCGATTGCAAGAATATACCCTTATGCAGTCTGAAAACCCCGTAGGCAGCCAAATCTGTAAATCAATCTCTTGCCCAATAATGCACGTAAAGTGTACCTCCTTCCCGCAATTTCGTTTCTACAGACGTGTAAACTCTCGATGCCAATTCATATTATGAGTTTTTGCCACAATTCGTTTTAAAATACACGACCTAATCACTATTCATTTGCAGTCAGATGAAATATCCATTTCACCCAACACATACCCGTTACATCGATTACGTATGTCGCCTTCAGTGACATCACACATGCCGTTCTATGCAACGACTTCAAAAATCAGCACCTATAGAAGTTAGACAGTCACCACCCAGCCTCTCAAGTAACACGTATGCTGGCTGGAGCTAAACTGCTGAAGCCTTGTTTACAGTGACCCCGCCTAATCACGCGTCCCTATACAATATAGTATTTACTAGCGCTTCACTGTGTCTTTCAGCCCACTTTACTGTTTAAGACCACTTCAACAAACTGTCCCCCAGGAAGTGATAATTGATGAAATTTTCGACGATTCCTAACGTGGATTCTTGCTAGTAAGGCGGTACGTTTCAAATTACACGCAGATCCCTTCGGAACTGATTACGAGGGTAGAGAATGAACGAATTTCAAAATCTCGAGGGGACGCTATAGGAGTGTACTAAATACATTGATTATGAAAAGCTTACTCAAAAGTCACGGTAATGAAAGTTTGGCTACGGCATGCAAATAAATGCTAACATGTCGCTACCTCATAGTGGAGCCCACTTACTTGGTCAAGAAGAGGGTCACATTCTTGAACATCGGCGCCCACAGTGGAGCCCAGCGGATGACTAATGAATAATGATCCCTGGCCCCTGCGTCCAACGAAAGATGCGTTTGAAGACTTCGTATCTTCAGTCTTACTCGGAGAAGCGCGGCGACTCAAAACTGACAACGGGATAGTGAGAGCGAAACAACTGATTACACAGTCGTCAAAAGTTTTATTCGTAAAAAGGGACAGAGGATGAAATTCATGTGTATCGTTTAATAAATAATAAGATGGAACAAAAGATAATGAATAATCCAATAAATATAACTAGCTATAAGCGAGAACTCTCGGATCGAAGATGGTTCGGCTGGGCGAACCGTTTAGGCTACCGGCGCTTGCTAGACATGAAGTCACATTGGTATGGTTGCAGGTCGCAGGTAGGTTGAACATTTCTTAGGTAGGCAAATTAGGATTTACCATTCATTACCTGTATTAATGAAACCTGTTTGAAGTCGTTAACTATATAAAAGACACCTGCCCACAACCTCAAACAGCCACACTCGAAACTCCATTAGTGAAGACGAAATAGCTGTCGGAGAACACCAGAACCCGAATTATAGACCTGCACCAGGCTGGGAAGACTGAATCTGCAAGAGGCAAGTAGCTTGGTGTGAAAAAATCTACTGTGGGAGCAATAATCAGAAAATAAAAGACCTACAAGACCACCACTAATCTCCCTCGATCTGGGTCTCCATGCGAGATCTCAACCCGTGGGGTCAAAACGATCACAAGAACGGTGAGAAAAAGTCCCAGAACCACAAGAAGGATCTAGTGAATGACCTGCAGAAAGCTGGGACCAACATTACAAAGGCTACCATCAGCAATACGCTACGACGCCAGGGCCTATACTTTCAATAAAAGTTAAGAGATCGTAAGTTCATCAGCCAATCATTGACGGCCTTTCAAGCAATATCCACCAATCATAGGCAATAAAATAGAGCGTAAGTGTTTACGTTCACTTAGCGTGTTTTGAAAGTATAGGGCTCCAAGGACTGAGATCATGCAGTGCCAGACGTGTCCCCCAGCTTAAGCTAGTATATATATATCCAGGCACGTTTGAAGTTCGCTAGAGAGCAGTTGATGTTCCAGAAGAGTATTGGGCGAATGTCATATGGTCAGATGGAACCAAAGTAGGACTATTTGGTGAATACACAACTCGTCGTGTTTGGAGGGAAGTGAGTGCGGAGTTTCATCCAAAGAACATCATACCAACTGTGAAACATGGGGATGGCAACATCATGCTTTTGGGCTGTTTTTCTGCAAAGGGACCAGGACGGCTAGTCCGTGTACATGAAAGAATAAATGGGGCCATATATCGTGAGATTTTGGGTGCAAACCTCTTTCCATCAGCAAGGGCAATGGAAATAAAACGTAGCTGGGTCTTTCAGCATGAAAATGATCCCAAGCAAACTGCCAGGGCAACAAAGGAGTTGCTTAGTAAGAAATACGTTTAAGTCCTGGAGTGACCAAGCCAGTCTTCCGATCTCAACCCCATTGAAAACCTTTGGGGAGAGTTGAAAGTCCGCGTTGCTCGCCGACAGCCCCAAAACATCACAGTTCTATAGGAGATCTGCATGGAGGAATGGGCCAACAGGCCAACAACAGTGTGTACCAACATTGCAAAGACTTTCAGAAAATGTTTGACCTCTGTCATTGCCAACAAAGGATATACGATAAAGCTTTGAGATGCACATTTGTTATTGCCCGAAAACTTATTTTCCACCATCATTTTCAAATGACATCTTTAAAAGTCCGACAAAATGAGTTTCTCAAATTTTTTTTCGCGTTTTGTCTTTTATTGTTGAAGTCTACCTATGATGTCAATTAACAACAACTCTCCACTCTCTAGCAATCAGATCACATGCCACCCGATTTATCGGGACATTGAAATTATATACCAGCGTTATTGAAATATTAAATACCAGCGTTATTTACAGACTCATAGCGATGCTGATTATAACCTATACGCAAGAGCTCGAAATCAAGCTAAAGAAAGCTGTCGCACCGCAGTAAAAACCCGCGAAAAATATATTGCCAAAAAGATAAAAAAAAATAACCCGAAAGCCTTCTTTTTCTGCGCTAGCTCGAAGTACAAGATTAAAGACGGTGAAGGCTAACGTTCTTAATCAGTTTTTCAGTAGCGTATTCACTGAAGAGGACTTCAACAATATTCCAGCTAATGAGGAGCGCCCAGCCGGCTCTAAATCAACAAGTTTTGAAATAAAAGAAGAAAAGGTTCTCAAGCGCCTGATCGCTGTAAATCCAAACAAGTCATGTGGACCAGACGGCTTCCACCCCAGATTACCCAAAGAGTTTTTTTTAAGGCCTCCCACACTCACCATTCCAACAAAAAAAAGGAATTGATTTTATTAATTAAAAACAGGGAATGGTTTCATGTCAATGATCAGGGCCCCGACCTTAACGCCTCTGATGGTGGCCTACACCGACTCCGAGGGTCACTGAGCTGTGACGCGAGCGAGGAGCGGGCCCACGTCGAACTTTTCTCTGACTGCTGTTAG